TGATGATGCCCACAACCTCTTGTCATCCGGAGCCGCGAAAGAGGGATAATCTTTGCGACTATGTACCGGAATACTTGAGCAAGGAAGAAATCCCACGAATTGTGGGGTCTGTCTTTAACCTGTCCGTGGCCGAGATAACCCTTGACCGTTGGCCAAAATAGCACACTGTGGGGATGGTTCTCAGCGGTTCCTCTGGCTTTTTCTGGCGATACCCAAATAGATCTATGAGCAATTGATTGGTAACAACACTCATACACGACTGCTATCAACCTCATCACTGTTGACACGTCCACTTCGAGGTGGACCAGCTTTTGCCCCTTTATAGCCTGAATACCCTTTGAAGGAGTCTTGCGCCGAGAGTAAGCCACACATCGTCCCACCCCGCATCTATTCCGCGGAAACCTTACCCCCTTATGCGCAACGGTGCTCATCGTGCCTTTTGCCTTTGAGCAAGCTGCAGCAGTGTTTCGTAAATTAGCCTGCTTGACTGAATACATGTTATGTAACCTACTTTTGTTTTGTATGAGTAATAAGATATGTGAGACATATTGTGGAGAGGCCTCCAATTTATTTGAATCATTACATTCATTTTATTAGAATTGGGTGTCCAATACCAAAACAGATAATAAATTAGTATGAATATGTGTGATTTGATGTCATTGCTACAGAGTGAATTGCTCAATGTGGAATTCTCGCGATGCAATTATAAGTTCAGGTTGTCAGGCTACGTACAGTACCCCGAAAATTGCGCGTGAATTTAAAAATGTTGCGTCGTGAACGCACACAATCGGGCGCTGAGCGAAGACGTTGATTTCTCCGCCACTGTAGACCACCCTGTTGAGCTCCGCCCGAACCCGGTAGTCGAGGGGTTTGGGTCAGGTGACACACTTGGATATTCCTTCTTCTTCGGGAACTCAACGCCCTTCGATTCCATGTGGTAGTACGAAGTTTCCAAGATGGTGCAGGCGACGACAGGATATTCTCCTCGAGCTGCTCGATGTAACGGTCAGCGTTCACTTCCAGTCGGGGTCCACGAAGACAAATATCGGTCTCCCCATTCCAGGAACTTTCGGTCCATACCATCAATCCGCTTCTGGACGACGGCGGAGAAGATGATATCCTGGACCAGCGACGTTGTCGGAGCTGCTTGATGGGTCTTCCAGATCAAGGTGCGGACGAGCGCCTGCATCTTCTCATTGAGGAACATCTTGAGTATCTTCCGCTAGTATCCTTCTTCTCTCTGAGGTGCGTATTCTTTACTGATGTGTGTCTCGGGTCAAGTGTCTCTTTTTTGTCCTCTTGTACATGTGGCAAGCTAGGGCACGGCCTTTTTCAAGGAGAGGAGACTCCGGGTGGGTGAACGAATCATCATCGATGAAGGCTGGAAGTGTGAGAACACATGAGTCTTGGAACGTCATGCGGACGAGAAACTACAGCAAAAAGTAAAATTGACACAATTGAAGTGGATCAACTTCAAACTTTCCGTAGACCGTGCAATGCAATCGTCTGGCGCCGCGCTGCAGGATGTGCGGTCCAGACCCCACGTCGTCTTCAAGGGTGTACATCCAGCTACGGACATCCGATTCTACCTTATCTACACTACTACTTTCTTCTATCTACAATATTTTTGCATGAACAGTTCAGCTTTTTTTTGGAATGGGTCTGTTCAAGTCTGAAAGACGATAGGATATTTTTGTGGTGTAGAGGAGTACAGTGAGGAATGGATGAAGTGAGGTTGAGGAAAGGGGACGTCAGTTACTGAGTTATGGGCAAAGACCTCAGGTGTCGAATACGCGTCTCCCGCTGACCGGGCAAGCGTTATATTAGGCCACGGGTTGCTTAAAGGCAATTGGCACGATAAATCCCCTAAGACGACTAGATCAATACGCCTGGCAGGACGGAATTCCGCGACCTGAGCAGGCGCTGCATAGCGGCTTCTTCCAAGGAAGGTCCCTTATAAGGGCCCTATCAAGCCACAACATTCGACCCAAACGCCCGCCACGCCCGCCCGCCCACAAATGGACGACCGTTCCTGACGCTCGTATTCATTCATTTGCTAAGCAAATTATGAAGCGAAGGGATTGGTATGAAGCGGCCGTGATGCTGCATGCATATATGGGTACACATATGCAGCCGTATCTTCGGTAGCGGTGATTGGTAAGATGCCTACGGGAAACTCGTCCGAAATCGATTTACAAGTCACTGAGAACGGAGGCTTTTTCCGTTCTTTCGCCATTTCCCCACTATACAGCGCCCTACTAGCATTTTAGGCCAAGTAGGAAACCATCGTGCCAAGTGCCTTTAAAGGCGGAGTCTGGAGGCGGAGTCACTGGAGAAAAGGAGGCGTCACTGAACCTATATTGCGCTATAGCGCCCCTCCCTTACAATTTTTGCCGCAAAACCGGTACAAGGTTGCTTGTCGCGGACCACACTAACCTCCTGACGCCGCATTTTCAACTTCTGTACCTGATCGCGGACCGCGCCCTCAAAAGAGATGAACTGAAACAAACCACTACTAAACTCTCCCTCGGCCTAGATTCAAATGTTGGAATGAACAACATTGATAGCTTCTATTCTTCGAATAGCTCTTATTTGGATTGCATCCATTTGCTTATGAAACTCAAATGGGGTTTATGAGTTTCAAGAAATGAG